AGAGATAAACTCAACCCATTAAGATGGTTAAGAGACCATCCGTCACAAAAGCTATTGCGGCTTTCGTAGAATGAAGTTCATTTCAAAGCCATACATGGTTTCCCATTTACGGTCGGTTTTGAAGTTCGATACTATAACAAAGAAAAGCGTATGTATGAGAAATTGAACAGGGAAACTTTTACAAGTTAGTTTGCTTGTAAACTTAGAAACAACTCTTCAAGCTTTTCAAGAAAAAAAACGACATCTTATCTCGAATATGCAAACAGGTATAACATTGACGAGGGAGAGTACCATCTCGATATTATTTATGACAGGAAATGCAACTGTTAAAATCAATTAGAATGAAGCCTTGGAGAAAACGTTTATTTCTACAAAATTAACAACTTGGCATGTATAGATTTATGAGAGATGTTAAATCAGCCTGCAGCATATCCAGTACACCCAGATTTTTATGAAGTCGAAAACCCTAATGGAACATATGAAAATATTTTCGACCAGATGCTATTAATATTGTTCTGCTTCATTTTCTGGTGCGCAACTCTTTCTATCTGGCAAATGACTTTTACGAAAAACCTACAAAGTTATACGAACCACCAAGGACAGTATTTCAGACTTTCAAGTATGGTTTACTAACAATGGAGAAAAAGAATAATTCATTATACCATGCGTTTTACTTAGAACTATAGTTTCTATACAACTACTCGAACGGTAAAAATATAATTTTTTAAATCGGTTGTAGGTGTTGGATTTGGTTGCCAACTAGACTGTGGTGCAGGTTCAGGCTGTTGTATAACAGGAAGCTTGTTCTTCTGGTTCAGGTCTTTAGGTATAATACCAACAACTGACCTACTCTTTTACCAATTTTTGACTCCGTTCCAAATTCCTCTTCGCACAGATTTTATTCATTCATATATCTCCAACATTTCGAAAGAGTTTCCTATCTTACTGAAGAAACCCATTTACTATCGTAAAAATCAATGTCCCCTAGCCTTTTGCGTTCCTGTGAGTTCCTACATTCTTAACTGAGCTCAACATTCTGTTTCTCCTCTGTAGAAAATCTTCTGGGTCAACTCCTGTGTTCGCGTCATCTGCACTATAAGTTGTTTTATATCCACTGTGCTGCACTTGACGGGGTTTGTTTTTTTTTTCTGGGCATCTTTTTCTCTACTGGTGAATGATCGGGAATCGGTGCGCTAAAAAACCCCTTCGGCGCTTCCATCTCATATTTGCATACCATGGTGGCAACCTAACGCAGGCGTCATTTGACATGCAAGTTTGGCATTTGTACATCTGTTGGCACTTGAGCCATAGTTTGCCATTGCAGTTTGTATTCTAACTTCATTTGGAATTATTCTCTGGGTTTGGTTGTCCAGGTTGCTGTGCATTCGCTAAGTTTGTGCGTCCATTTAATATTTAGATAAAAATATCTCTTACGAGTACATATTACTGAACATTTGCAGGCATGGTTTCATCTTCATATTCTCTGTACTTTTCTGCCACGTCAAATAAATAATGAAAGCACAATGGAAAAAACCTAAAACAAGTAGTCGGATTTCAAACACATTTACTTACTAATAAAATTTCTTTGTTATGACACTTTCTCGCAGTTTATAGGACCTCTCTCATATTCTATCTTGTCATATATAAACTCATAGTCATGTATGTCCCGTAACCATCTCATAACGGTTTCCAAACCACTTTTTATCGGATGTAAAGTAAAAGCATGGATGGTTATGTAAAACGTCTAGAAGTTTCTAAAGAGTCTCTCAAAGTCCAGTCTACTTGGTATTGAAATCCCATGTGTTATAGAACGGCGGGTCCACTATAAAGAAACATTTTTCCTTGTCTTTATATTTTTCATAACAACTCTGTCCAATAACATCTCAACAAACGTCTATACCCTCAATATATTTTTCTTATGTCTCTCTTTGAAAACATTTGTATAGTTAATATAAAACTTTTGACATAAGTGTTTCAATTGTCATGAACTCTTATAGAACCACTATAAATAGTCTAGCAAGATATACTATTCCAGTCTATATATTCTGCTTTTCAAAACTCTCTCACAATATTTTTTCTTATCTAATGGTAATACGTTCATCTTACCTATAGGTATCTTTTCTTTTAACTCTTTCAATATATTGTTTGTGTCTGGAATATGTTTGAGACGGTCCATATAGTTGTCGAAGTCATTGCATATAATCTTTGAGTCTGGGAATATTATATGACACAAATGGGATATATAGAAACTTCCACCGAACAAATCTACAAATGTAGACCATTCGGTAGTTTCTTAATGTCTCTCAATATAATTTTACATCTATCTTTATTTCCAAAGAACGGTAACGGAGGTTTGTAAAATTCATTTATATATATAATAAAAATGTTTTTTCCTGAAAAGTGACAGAAAAGTGACAAAACAATGTACGAAAAGTCTTGACAAAACATTTTACGAAGAAAGTCTTGACAAAACATTTAACATTTACGATGAAATCATGAAAATTCAAGAGGTGAGAAAACAGGTGAGAAAACAGGTGAGATCTCACCTCTTCACCTAAACATTATTTTTGTCTGATTTTACGAAGAAGTTTTGACAAAACATTTACGAAGAAGTCTTGACAAAACATGTACGAAGAAATCATGAAAATTCATGAGGGTAGAAAAGAGGTTAGAAAACAGGTTAGATCTAACCTTCTACCCTAAACTTTATTTTTGGGTCCTTTACACTCATTACGATGAAGTCTTGACAAAACATTTACGAAGAAGAAGTCTTGACAAAACATGTACGTTCATGTTTGACAAAACATGAAAACATATATAATTTGTGAAAAGCGACACATTATATATAATGTTTTCGACCCAGAAGACTAACAATTTTTCCGAATAAAAACTTCATTTATTACTAAACATCATCAGGGCTAGAAGGCACGAAGTGCCTGGAAGCCCCACTACCTTTTTTTTTTTTTTTTATTCAAATTAAAACTTCAATTTAATAATAATAAATTAAACAAAGCCTTAAAAGTATAATTGTATCATTGTGAGGCTTGAAAGATTAAACAGTACATAAATGATTATGCGTGAATGATTTTTTTTACGTAAAGATATTAGTTTAGAATTAGTTTGAATACTCTTCTTTTGAGTATGTTTCTCAACATGATATATAGCCATCAATATTAATAATGATGCAATCAAATTTGATATTTTAATAAATAATCGTTGAATTGATGTATGAGTTGCTATACCTAACATTGATCATTGGTAAAGAATGTTAGTTCGTTTCTTATAAGTTGGGCCTTTAGATGCACATTGGATCAGTAAGATCTCAGTAACTCAAGATTATTTTTTTTTCTAACAAATGACTTCAGAATCGAAGGATGATTCCTTTCCAGAAAAGATAGAAAAGGAACACTCCAAGAATGACATTACTGAAGATGTTGGTTTGTCAGCCGAAATCTTGCGTTTACAGCAGAGAATTAAACACATGGAATTTAATGTTGATTTAAATATCAAAAGAGGACAAGAATTATCCGAAAATTGCTTCAAATTACTTCGATCAACTGAAATGCTCGCTTGTGATTTCATTTTTGCCGAATATTTATTATCTGATAATCCAGATACCAACAAAGTCTATGTATTCCTTCAAAATTGCATTCATCCGAAATTCAACCTTTCATCAGGAAAGCAGGAAGACTTTGATATGGCTACAAAATATGTTCGAGATTTGCAAAATTTAATTCAATCTTGCGCTGTTTCTCTTTTGAGGCCCGAAACCAAACAACCACAAGTACCAAAGAGAGTATCAGAGTTTGTTACATTCCTTAAGGATCAAAAGCACCAACTTCAGGAGGAAATTTCAGCAAATGCAGAAAAAGCGGAAGAAGTACTCAAAACAGAAGATGTCAAACCAGAAAATAAAGAAAAGGTCGATATAGAATCACCAGATTTTCCTTCGGTTCTTTCAAAATGGTTAACAAACGAATTACATCTCGGAAATACACCAGACGACGAAACAATTGAGCTCAGATGCCTTATTAATAACGTATCTCGTCGTTTGGCCAATGTTACTCGTTTACACCACTCAATTACAGAAATGAAAGAAATGATTATACCATTTGATCAAATTGACTACACAGATTGCGATGCCCCAGCTCTTGTTAACTCTCCTTTCTTTTCCGGCGTCAAAAGTTCATGCAGTTTCCTTGTAAACGCTCTAAAAGCCATGCAAGCTCAAAAAAAGATTTTACCAGTGTTCCAACAGAATTTAGAGCAGTGCCAAGAGCATCTAACAACGTTATGCAACAAGGCACAAGATGCTGTCAAAGAAATGGGCAAACAATTATCACATATGAACGATACAGTTGCCAGAAAAGAAGGCGAAATACAAAAGATGAAAGAAGAACTAAAAACATTTGTTGACCAAGTTTATGCTGAACCAAACTTAGTTTCCTTCTCAAACAACGAGAAAGCAGTACAATGGTACAACGATTTCGAAGACAAACTCAAGAAATACATCAACAGTGATTCCAGTCTTGAATCAAGATTAAACAGCCAATTAGTTTTGATACAAGAATGTCGAAATGAAAGACAACAATTGGCAAAATTATGTGATGAACAAACAGAGCTTGTCAAACAGATCCAACAGAAGAACCAAAGATTGTTCGAACTCATTGCTCAAAACAAGAAACTCGATGAAGAAAGTGTGATGCAAAAAGATGAACAAATGTTGATGTCGAAATACGAAAACGCTCTTTCTGCTGTTTTCGATGGCCTCCATTTGGAAGAGATGGCGAAATGGGCGGACAAACTAAGAGAAGTCGGTGAAGAATTCAGAAAATGCGCAGAAAGTCAGAACCAAATCGCTGAAGATTTGAATAGATACATTTCTGCTGCTGAAGACAAAAAAGTTTGCGATGAAAAGAGAAAAGAAATCGAACAATTAAGCGAAATGAACTATAAAATGGCCCAAGAAGTAGGAAATGCAAGACTCGAATTGGAAAGCGCTAAGGAGGATAACTTTAGAGCACAACAAGAAGTAGAAAAGTTTAGAGATTGGATGCCTGATTGCATTGATAAAAAGAATTCTGAAGCTGTCAAAAAATATAAACAGATGGCTTTTTGTCCGTTGTGCAAATATAATAGAAGAGACTCTATCTTAACTACTTGTGGTCATGCTGTATGCCATTCATGCTTAGAACGCGATGGACAACATTTGTGCCCAATTTGTAAGAAATCTTTCACAAAGAATGACATAAAGCCATTCTTCTTGCAATAAATGTCAATCATGGTCATATTATTTATAAAGTATTTGCTTCTATTTACGCATTTTTTTCAAATTTTATTATACTTTTGTAAAAAATCTTTGATTTGGATTACATTTTTAAATATTTATTAAAATACTCAAAATCACATATTAAGACAATCTGTTAATATCAGATGTGGCTCTACACTGGATATTCAGAATCGAAGTTTCTATAATACATATAATAATAGTTATGTAGAGGTGCCAAAATAGTTAAAAAGAGAAAGTAATAGCAGGAGAACTTTAAGCAAAGTATTTTCAGATAATTTTCTTCTAATTTGGTAGAGCTTTTTTTATTTAATGGCCATTTACAATGAAATTTATAATAAATTTAACTATTTGTTATAATATATGATTTCCGAATATTGAATTCTTAAGAATAATAAGTAGTAGGATATGACGGGTTTAGTGACTTTTTTTGTTACATCTATATATAGACGATGCATTAAAATATATTTATTTATAAATCATTAAAAAATTAACATTAATTTTAAAATAATTTATTTTTTTATCTTTTATAAAAGAAGCTATATATAGATGATGTCAGATATTCCGCGATTAATTAAACATTGTTTAAATCCTGAATGGGTTAAACTTCAATTTAAAAATGAAGATTGTGAATTATTAAATGAATATGAAAGCCAAAATAAGCTAATGAGGTATAAATATAATGATAAAGAATATTTAATTTCATGGAATCAATGGAGTCATAATCAAAGACCTCATAAACGAGAAGAAGAAATTGAAAATAATGAAATGGAAATCATTGATGACATTAAAGAGGATGGAATTCCTAAATTTTGTAGAAAAACCTTTAGAACTAAGTTAGGAGCATATAAACGTAGAGTATTAAATCCTGAATATCTTAAACATCAATTTAAAAAGGAAGACTGTGAATTATTAAACGTTAATGAATATGAAAATACTAAATCAAAACTGAGATATAAATATATTGGAAGTGATGAAAGGTGTAAAGATAAAGATAAAGTTTATTCAGTTTCATATAATAACTGGCACACGTTAGGGATAAGAAAACATTTAGGAGATTATGGGAAATGTTCTGAATTCTTCAAATCTAGTATGTACGAGAGAGTAAAAGAAATTAGAAATAATTATTTTCATGAATAAAAGATTCACTACCATAATGAAATAAAAAATAAAAAAATTTTAAAAAAATAAACTTTAAAAATTCATGTCTTACATTTTTGAATAATTTATTTTTTTAATTCGTAAGAAATGAGCGTCAAAATTCGTGACTGTGAATCAATTAATGGATAAACTTTCACTAATTCTCACTCAGGTTAAACAAGTAGACGTTTATTTTGATGATTGCGTACAAAGTTTATTTTATAAAGGTAAGTTTAATATTAAACCTATTGCTTTTGCATTTGATGGTAAATTAATCGAAAATTCAAAAATTTGGGAATTAATTCCGGATATTGAATTTATAACAAATATTAATGATAAATGGTTTAAACAACAAAACCACCTCACTAAAGTTCTTTGTAGATTAATGATTAAAACTGAGGAAAAAGAATTTAACGGGTTTAAATATCATCCATGTAAAATTTTAGAACTTGGTAACGAAAAACTTCAGAAAAAATTAAACGAAAGACTATCAAAAGATAAAGTTGAAAGAGTAAATAAACTCGCTAAAGGTAATGGTAATGGTAATGATGAAGATGAATTTGATGAGTTCAACATAGAACTTTAAGAAACTAATGATTATTTGAATTTATGAAATTAATTATTTGATTCATTCTTTCTTCAATCTCTTCTATTCTTTTTGTTAAATCATCAATTTTCATTAATGAGGTGATTCTTGATTGAGGAATAGATTTCAAACTAACCACTCCTTTTATTTTTGAAATTTTGAATCCATCAACTTTAAACATTTTATTCAATTTACACGTTGTCAATTCTTCAAATAATTTTTATTATTAGCATAATAGTCATTAAATTCTTCAACAGATGAAAAAATTTTATTTCAGTAATTGGTTTAACAACGTTTATTTTTTGTTGAACATTTTCACTTTCATTTATTTCTTCCTCCTCTGTTTCATTTATTTTTAAAATCGGTTTCATTTATCATTAAATAAAAATTAGAATATAAGTGATGAAATATATTTTTTAATTAATATTAAATCAGAAATGGCGGCAGGATTCTTTAAAAAATTATGGGATGGAATTAAGAAAGCTGCGGGTTGGGTTTATAAAAAGATTATTAAACCCGTTGCAAACTTTTTGGCACCAGTAGCGAAAACGGCAGGAACTATCATAGGTGGAGTATTAGGTACTAAAGCAGGTAATCCGGCGATGGAGCACAAGCAGGTAACGCAGTTGGTGGAATTGCTGAAGGAATACTTAATAAATAGGAGGTAGATAGTGGAAAAATAAATATGAGATCCTATGGATCATCTCACCGCTTAGCGGCTTAAAATTATTTTTATCTTAGTATCGGTTGTAGTCTTTGATAAACTTTTTCTCCTTTATTTAAAACTTCTCTTATTGGGGCAGCTTTTGGTGTTATTGATTCAGCAACGTCAATAATTGCTTCTTTATTCTTAAATATCCAATTTGCTCCCTTCTTCAATGTTTCCCAAACTTTACTCGCTCCTCTTTTTACTTTATCCCACAGTTTCTTAAATATACCTGCAGCCATAGTTGATTATTTCATTAAAATTAAAAAATTCATTTTCATCTTTAATTTTGATTTTTTATTTATTAATAAATGACGACTAACTATTTGGTGCCAAACACTAAACCGATTAATGGAAATGTGTTTCATTCATTCGAAAAGATAAATGAAATATTCGCAAAGAATGACGGTAGAAGATATTATAGAGAACTTGAAAGTTCATGCTATGACTCTGATGCTCCATATTTTGATGATAAACAAACTCATTTAAGAATTACAAATCCGGCTCATGATGTGAACCAATTAGGTGACACATATATTAAACGCAAAGTTAAAGCAACTCTAGTTTCAAATAAAGCTTTCACATGTGATGCCGCTTTTAAATGCATGCGTTTATTCGTTGGTTACAAATCATCAAATCAAAGCTTTAAACAATTAGAAGTAGAAACCGAAAGAGGTGATGCCGGTTATCTTCAGATGGATTGCGCCCGTGAATCTTTCGCATCTGCAACATATAAACCAAAATCAGAAAGGAAAGTTAAAAAGTTTGTTCATTCGTTATATAATAATGTTCAAAAATATGATAACTCAGTATGTGGTAAATATATTGACCCTTCAGAAGTTTTCAAGAAAGCAAATGAAGAAGTTGATGTCACTTTTGATATGATTATTCCGGTAAATGATTTGTTATCATTTCAGGCGTTCGATGATTATCCTAAATCATTTGGTGATATCATTCTTAAATATTATGTTTTCAGGGATACTTTAGTATTTTGTCAGGTTGACCCGTTAAGAGTTGCTGATTTACAAAATTACGTTTATGAAAAGATAACTGATGAAAATTATGAGAAGATTATGAATCATGTTTATAAATATGATCGCAAATTCCAACAAATCGGACTTCCTGCCAAATTAATTACAAGCTTAGCCGCTACATCTGCTGACGCAACAGTTGGTGACGTTATTATTTCATGCACAAAGATGGAAGTTTTAGAGGATAAATGCATTACACCAGGATACGGTTTAATTGAAGAATCAGTTAAAGCAATACCACGTTTATTCAGTAAGGAAGATCCATTCATGATTCCAGCTCAACATATTGACGTTCGTTCACTAAATGGAGGTTGCATCACTCCTGAAGGTATCAGCTCAGATTTCTCATACGCTCTTCATAATGTTACAGATGTTGTGTTAACATTTCCGAAGAATGCAATGCAAAGAACAGTTTTAGAAAATCCAATGCTTCGAGGTCTTCAGGTCACTATAGATTCCAGAAACTTCCCCGATCAAGCGATGACCACAGTGGGTGACATATTCTTTACACGTATGCTTCAAGCTTCTGATTTAGATGGAGTGAATGAATGCACAGAAGAATACGAGGACTCATTAACTAGACCACTGAATGCAGATGATGGCACGCCATTAGCTAGAACATGGAAAGACCAAACTTCATTCTTATGCACTATTCCAGTTCAACGTGATGGAGCGGGTATATTCTTTGATGGATTAGAAACTTTCAACTCACAAGTTACAGTACAAGTGAAAGCTTATCCAATCATTCAGGGTGAAAATGACACTTACTGTTCAAAGGTGACAAATCCTCCTCAGGTTTGGTTTACTAGGACTACGTATTGGACATGGACACCGGACGAAGGTTTGAAATATCATCCAACAGGTACACCACCACAGTATAGAAGTTCATATGATGAAATATTGATGAATAGAAATGTTTAAAATTATAAATTTATTTTTGATTAAATGGATTTAAATTCATACACTCCTTATGAAGAATTAGCAGGAGTATATAATACATACATAGATGATATGATTAATGAAGCATTGAGTGATAATAGAAATGCTCTATCTAAGGAAAAATTAATGAAAATTCCATATTCTGAATGTTACTTAAATTCAATCACTGCAGCAATTGGTAAACAAAATAAAGGTAAAACATTAACGATATTAAAACAAATTATCATTATTGCTAACACTTCACCCTATTCACACGTGTTAATTTATATCAACCGTTCAGGTTCACCTTCAGATGATACATTTGAATCTTTAAAGCATTTAATCAAAATTCCAATTATTTATTTATCACAAGAAGAAGCAGAAGATTATTTAAAAAACTTTTTAATGTATAAAGAATTATATAATACAATCAAGAAGTAAGGATTAGAGGATAAAATTATTGAGAAACAACGGGATGAATTATTTGAAACACTTTCTATTTCAAATTTTGATAGAGAATTTTTGCATTCACTCATTTTTCTAGGATGCAGTGAAATCAAAACTAATAACAAATGAGAAATCATATTTTAATCAGTTATTAACT